GCAAAAATTACATCTTTCCGTTAAGCATGTGTGCATACGAAACAGACATTGTGTTCCTAGACGCCCGTGGAGAATGAGGGAAATTGATTAAATTGTGTTTTAAGGCTGAGATGCAAGAAAGTGCAGCTCGCGTATTAAGTCGCGTAAGACACATTAATATTCATGTGTCAGTTTCGCCACCTCCGGGTATACAGTACCTGTACCGGTTACGGCAGGTGACAAGCGGTTTTCGATTTCTTGCAATGTCGCACGGCGCGATTAAAGCCGCCGGCCAAACATTGTAGCCTTTTGCATGCGCCGAAGGTGACTTGCTGTAGCGCTCTCGTCGCAGTGCTGCGCAATTTGATTCGATTTAATCTTGTTCGCCACCCCCCCCCCCCTCCCTCCCGTACCGTAACTTCCGTGATTTTTTAATACAAGCGGCAAGACTGTATCTCTATAATTGCATGTGAGAGCTGTGAAAATGGATTCATGAGAGAAATAACTTTTCCCGCCTTTTTCTCCAATGACAGACTGCGTTTTCCGCAAGTTACATCTATGTAATTATGATAATTTTAAAATTTTAATTTTTTGTAAAGTTCTATGTCGATAAAAAATATTTTTAGTATTAAAAGTCATATGTCTATTATAAATATATATCCTATCTATTCTATCTATTACATAAAGTATTTTAAAATAAATTACAACTCATTTTGTATAAAAAATGAATAATTTTTTTTTAATTAAAGATAAAGATACAACCTATAATATATTATCTAATTTTGATGACCAGTATTTTAAAATTTATTAATGAAGTAAAGGTAATTAAGCAAAGTCATTCTAATCAATTGGTTACTAACTAGAAAATTATTTTTATGCTGTTAAATACTTTCTAGATAAATTATATACTTGACAATAAATTGGCGAAATAAATATCAGTCTCAATTTTTTTTTAATATTTATTAATGTTTTTGCGCAAATTAAAAATTATTTCGACAGCCGAACATTTTTGTTGTGTCTATAAACAAATAATAAATTTGCACAAACTTTTGTGTGTAAAAATTATAAACTTAAACTTTATTTATAATAGGAAAATATATTAAAATGAAGTAGCATTTCGCTATGTCATTTAATGCTGTTTATATATGATTCTATCATCACGAGTAGATTAGCAGAGAAGAGAAGAGGATGCGGAATATTGTGTGGGTGGTGATTCGATATCGTTTATCATTGAAACAAGACGTTTATTGATGACGATGATGCGGCCCGACGGCCTCAACAGAGACGCCGTACGGCATTGCGTCGAAAAAGATTCTTAAACATAACAAGTTAACATCTATATAATAGTCGCTATGCTTTACGAGAAAATAGTCATCTCAGGTACAAAAGGAAACCCTATCACAGATGTCACTTAAAGCTTTAATCACCTATGTACAATGCGATCAAGTAAATCTCAATAACGAGAAGTAAAGTTCTTAAAGATCTTTAATGAGACTTTTCGCAAAAGTATTTCATTTGGAAGACAGAGATTCGTCGTTTTTCCTCCCCGTCGGCGCCATTCAGCGGGAGGATCCTTCGTCCGTTTTCGATCGCCTCGAACGCCCCGGAGATCTCAGGCTCATGTCGATTGTAGAGTGCCTCATCACCAGGGTCTCCAAACCGCGTTGGAGGATTCCGAAGAGTCTCCAGAGGAGCTCGCGACACTGACAGGACTCTGCGGAGGGGTGTACACGTTCTGGGGCACGTTCGTCTGGCTCGTCGGCGCCTGAGTCGTCGTCGTCTTGGTCGCAGCCGCGGTCGCCGCCGTCGGCACCACGTGCTTGGTACCAGCCGGACCCTCCAGTCGTCGAAGGCAGCCGCCGAGGTGTCGCATCAGCTGGGCACCCGCGGCGGGATGCACCGCCGCGGCAACCGGGGTCGACAGGAAGGTCGACACCTCCTGGGCGCACTGAGTGAAGCCGTCGCGGAACCGATCGGCGTAGCTGTTCTCCGGGGTGAGCGTGAGCCTTCTGGCGGCGCGTAATGTGTGAAGGTGACGCACCGTCAGCTCGAGGATGTCCGCCTTCTCCAACTTCGCCACGTTCTCACCTTCGGCCTGCAGCGCGGTCACCATCAGATCCTTCAGCTCGTCCAGGCAGCGATTGATGCGGGCGCGTCGCTTGCGCTCCAGCATCGGCTTCATCACCTTGCGGTACTGATAGGTGCGCGACACCGGCTCCTCGTATTCCATGCCGCTGACCGGCGTGTAGCCCGTGTGCGGCGACATGACGATCACACTTTATTATTATTGTCACTGGTCACAGAACAATGTGTAACAATGAGTCCGGTGGAGTTTTCTCCGCGGATGTTCTCCGACAGTTCCGAGGAGGAGGGGAGGGAGAGGGGGAGACGTCCCGAGTCACCTTGTGGACGAGGCTCCGATCAAGGCTCCAGGAGAATCCGCAATTCCTCCTCGTTTCGTAATCGACTCGATTGAATGATCGAAAACGACGTGCGACGTGTTTTCTATATTACCCTTCTACTCGAATGTACTGCTCGCTCGCTGTTCTCGGAGTGCCGAGAGTGCGTCTGAGTCCGTACGTATTCGTGACGGTTCTGAGGCGCTGGTGGGGCACAACCCGTTATTTATATGCCGCATGGTACCCCACCCGTGCCACCGTCGTCCTGCGCTTCACTGGCTGGATGGCGAAGGGGTCCGGGGGGGTACGGTGTGCCGAACCCTGCAGCCCGCGTGCACGGCCAGCCAGCAGCAGCCGTGGCGTATCGTGGGAAGCTCGCGGGCCGGAGCGTTCCCACAGATCGGGGGGGCCTGTTGGGGCCTGCACAGGTTCTGTGCCGCTTGACGCCTGCCGGGCCGCGAAGAGGGGAGATGAGGGGAGGGGGGAGGAAAGGGGCCTTCCTTGCGAGCGAAGAGCGCGAGCGGTACGTGCACGCGCGGGAGGGGACACCGCGCTCACCGAGAGAGCACACACCTGCACACGCGATGCCCTGGCACGGCCGCGACGCGCCGAACCGCGCCGAGTAACGCGGGCGAGAGGAGAGGCGAGAAGAGGAGAGCACACGCCACGACGCGCGACCAGCACGAGGACGACTCGCGCGATCCGTCGCGCGGTAAAGCGGCGCGCGAGCCTCTCCACCGCGATCCTCGCGCCAGAGATAGAGATTGAATCTAGCGGAAGAACGCCGCCGCATCGCGAGGGCACGGGCTGAAAATTGAAACGTAACGTTGGGAGAAAACGAACTTTCTCGCGATGCTCCGAGTCATTTGAAAATATCATGTGTCAATCACTCACAATTTGACGATGTTTCAACGACGGTCGATCTGTAATATAAATAAAACAAATCTTATTTGCCGTTTGAATATTTAATGTTTCCATTTTTTTTTTTTTTAGAGCGCGAAAGAGATGAGAGATGTGAATTTTGCATTCTTTTCATTATTCGATTTAATAAAAACTTATGAAAATATCTGTTTCCGGAACACGTTCACACCGTGCCCACTTGTGGCACTGCGATAATAATATTTTCCATCGGCATGTTTATAAGAATCTAAACACCGCTTTCGCGCTCGAGGCGCACGACACTTGTTGATTTACCGGATTACTACCGACGCGGTGCACGTGCATGCGCGTGTCGGCAGCGCACCCGGCGTTTCCTTGGAGTGAATCACGTCTTGGCGAACGACGTTGTACCGCGGCGTGGACACCAGTTCGCGCGTTTCTCCCCGCGCGAAACAATAGAAATAAACATCGCGGCTGGCATGCTCGCACTTGTCGCCGCGTTCAACGAGAGATCATCCGATTGTTTCTGCCGCGTTGCGTCATACGTTGAATCTCTGAGAACATAGATGTTTATTTGATAGATAGAAAAAAATTTTATAAAAACAGTTTTAATGAACGAATCTCGTCTACGTGGAAGTTCTTTAAGGAAATAACGGATTGTATCACAGATTGTGACCGTAAATATCTCTCTGCGTGGGAAAGAAATGGCATCTTCCATTCGCCAGTTCCAGTTAGGTCGTCTTTCGATTCTGCGATGAGGGAATAAGGCAGACGTATCTCCCATTCATATCTAGTTCCCTGAATATTCGGCCATAATTAACCTATGATCTCTTCCTGCTCTTAAAAGATCGCGTAGCTCGAGAAAATTTTGCATATTCCATTCGAGATCAGCGTTGGGAGGAGGGGAGGGATTTTCGAGAACCGGTTCCGGTGCAATCGAAGCAGGGCCCGGGAGCCGATGTTTTGAATTATAAACGTACGTTCTTAATGATCCGCCCATTCTCGGACTCAGACGGACTTCGGTTGCGGGATTTAACAAGGTGTTTAGCCTCCCTTTTGGGAGCCGATACCTCAAACAAGACCTCGCTGAGTGGGCCGTCAGGTATTTACGAGCCTTTGGGTCTAAACGCAAAAGCGGCTACAGTCACTTCGGAGGCAATTCGGATATTACTAGGATGTGTCATCTTTTTCCGAAAGAATAAAGGAAAGAAAAAGAATCCGCCTCTTCAAGTATGCGGTCGCTGTTTAATTGCCGATCTGTCCGAAATTGCGACGGCTACGAAAATTGATGACTGGAATTTCATCGAGCAAGAATTTTTAGGACGCTCGAGAAGAAATCTTTTTTCGGAAAAAAAAAAATTCGCTATAATGTCTCTGTAAATAAGAGTCTCCGGAGTCACGGGAGATAAGTCTACCCTCGTTCCGAAGAGAGAAAGCGTTAGTTATTACAAACTCTTAATGAAAACGTAGTATGAGTTTAAAGATAATATTTTAGGATAATTTGTTATGATGAAACACGGAGTCTCTCTCTCTCTCTCTAATAAGATGAAACAAAATATAATCCATTCGGCTCGTATTTTACAGTGAGATGTAAGAAGAAGAATTTATACAAGTATGTTACAATTTCGTTACATCTTTTAAATAAAATTCTCAATTTTCCTTACATTATTTTCAGATGGTGGTCTCCATTTCCATACTGTATAATTACACTGGTCGGAACGCTTCTCTCGTTGACGTTTAACTGTGACACACGCGGTTTCAACGAAACCGTTTCAGAACGTTCGAGACATTCTCCGTTTATTCTGGCAAGATGCCAGATTTCTAGACATACTCGAATAATTTCAATGCACACGTGTGTCACGCAGTTATTATTAATCTTCGTACTCCGAGCACATATCTCTTCCCTCATTGATTCAAGCATTTTT